TGAGAGGTGAGACCAGGAGCACGTGGCCAGAGGTTCAAACGGGGGCCCTGTGAGATGAGCCAACACCAGGTTTAGGTCCCACTGTGGGACCGGGGGTCTAGAATAAGGAAAAGACGGTCCAAACCCTTAAGGAACCAGCCAGTCATAGCATGGGAAAATACTGTGTGCCCTTGCACCGGCGGATGGAAGGCCGATATGGCTGCCAGGTGCACCTTGACTGACGAGGGCGTCAGACCCAGGGCCCTTAGGTGGAGGAGGTAATCAAGGATAAGCTGGATTGGCATGGTCACTGGGGAGACACCCTGGTCCACTGCTCACCTAGAAAACCGGGACCACTTTGCCAAATAAGCGCGACGAGTGGAGGGCCGTCTACTTTCGAGGAGAACGCACTGAACTTGCTCTGAGCACGTCCTTTCCTCACCACCTAACCACTGAGCAGCCACACCGTGAAGTGAGGAGCCGCTAGGTTGGGACGGAGGAGGTGGCCCTGGTCCTGAGAGAGCAGGTCTGTGCGGAGTGGCAACAGCCACGGCTGAGCTACCGCCAGGCCCGTGAGGGTCCCGTACCAATGCTGCCTGGGCCACACTGGGGCAATCAGGAGGACCTGGGCCTTGTCCGACTTTATTTTCTCCAGGACCCTGCTGATTAGAGGGAACGGGGGAAAGGTGTAGAGAAGCCGGCCTGACCAGGACAGGAGAAAGGCATCGGAGATAGCGCTGCCCCTGCAGACCCCACCTGGGGCAGAACCGGGGCATCGTCGGTTCTGCCAAGTTGTGAATAGGTCCACCTGGGGAGTTCCCCACATTCGGAAGAGCTGGTGGGCCACTTCCAGGTGGAGGGACCACTCGTGTTGCGAGGAAAAGTCCCTGCTCAAGCGATCCGCCCTCTCATTCCGGGCGCCCGGTAGATGGAAGGCCTTCAGGTGGATATTGTGGGCTATGCAAAAGTCCCACAGTCTGAGGGCTTCACGGCAGAGGGCTGAGGATCGGGCCCCGCCTTGCCTGTTGATATAGAACATCAAGGCCGTGTTGTCCTTGAGGACCCTGACTACCTTGCCCTCCAGGTGCGAGCGGAAGGCCATACATGCCAGCCGTACCACCCTGAGCTCCTTGACGTTTATATGTAGGGTCAGGTCTTGAGCCAACCACAGGCCTTGGGTCTGAAAGTTCCCCACTTGGGCCCCCCAACTCAGGTCCGACGCATCGACACTAGTTCCAAAAACGGGGCCCTGTCCCTGAATGGGACCCCTTGGCGCATATTGTTTGGGGCAGACCACCACCGTAAGGAGGCGATCACAGAGTCCGGCACGGTGAGGACCTTATCCATCCTGTCCATGGCCTGGGAGAACTTTGAGGCCAACCAGAGCTGGAGGGGCCTCATCCTGAGTCTGGCGTGATGGACCACATACGTGCACCCCGACATGTGACCAAGAGTTGCAGGCAAACCCTGGCAGTTGTCACTGGGAACCTTGTGATCGAGTCGATGAGACCTTTCAGAGTCTCGAATCTGTCTGGTGGGAGAGAGGCCCTGGCTGACACTGCGTCCAGGAGCGCCCCAATAAACTCTATGAGCTGGACTGGGACTAACGTGGACTTGGTATTGTTTGCCAACAGGCCCAAGGCGGTGCATGTGGGCAGGAGGAGCATCACGTGATCCCTCACCTGCGACTGGGAGGTACCCTTGACAAGCCAATCGTCCATATAGGGAAATATCTGGACCCCCCGCCGTCTGAGGTAGGCCGCTACCACCGACATACATTTTGTAAACACCCTGGGGGCAGTGGACAGACCAAATGGGAGGATCGTGAATTGGTAATGATTCTGTCCCACCACGAAATGGAGGAAGCGCCTGTGCCCCTCGAATATGTGGATGTGGAAGTATGAGTCCTGTAGATCGAGGGCAGCGTACCAGTCCCCAGGATCCAGGGAGCGGATGATGGAGCCCAGAGAGACCATGCGGAACTTGAGCTTCACCATGTACTGGTTCAGACCTTGGGGCAGAGTCCAGGTGGATTGCCCTCAACGCCGACCAGACTGTCTGGCTGGGTCCCGTCCGTCTGGGACTCGCGGCACCGCTTGTCCTCAACGGGCGGACCCGCGATGACGAGACCCCGGTGATCGACGCCCGGGGCTGCGATGTCTTAGCAGAGACTTGGAGCGGGAGTCTGAGCAGGAATGGCATTGACGATCATGCCATGACCAACTGCGGTACCATCTCCGAGACGAGGACTGACAGCAACGCCTGCCGTGGTCCCATTGATATTCGCTCCTTGAGGATGAGCGGTGCCGCGAGTCCCGGACGGACGGGATCTAGCCAGACAGTCTGGTCGGCGTCGAGGGCAATCCACCTGAACTGTGCCCCGAGTGGTCACTGGGCGGTGATCGGTGTCGGGAACATTCCCTCGACTGAGACCAGTACAGGGCCGGAAGCGACTGTGGAGATCCCAGCGGCAGCTTACCTCTGGAGTACGGGGCTGACATTGGCGGTGCTCCGGGCACCAGCATGGACATGACAACCCGGACCGCCTGGAGGGCTTCAGGTGTGGATGGCATCCGGACATCCGCAGAGGCCTGTTCCAAAGGGACCGGGCTACTCCGCTCAACTTGAGTCGGAGGCCTGGGGCCCAGTGGGGATAGAGGACTGCCCAACATGGGCCAAACCTCTGTCCCAGACTTCCCTCGGTGCTGCTGTGAAGAGGGCGTCTTCCTGGCCCTCTTGGCATGCCCTGTGGACGGGGAGCGGTGCCAGCTGGTTGGTGGCACTGGAGGGTTGCCGTGTACTGGCGCCGCGGTGCCGGGTACTGGTTCGGAGCGGCATGCCAGTGTCGGGGTCAGTGCTGACTCCATCAGGATGGCCCGGAGCCTAATGTCCCTTTCTTTTTTGGTCTGAGGCTGAAATGACTTGCAAATCTTGCATCTTTCGCTGATATGGGTTTCTCCCAAGCAGTGCAAACAGTCTGCGTGTGGGTCACTTCTTGGCATAGAACGCCTACAAGAGCCGCACGACTTAAACCCCGGGGTGCGGGGCATGCCCTGGCCTGGGCTCACTGACTAACTAAACTAACTAAACAGCTAACTAACTAACGATGAACCAACGAACAGTTCTGGGGACAAGCTACAGCAAAGCTGGAGCAGAGCAGTTCCAACGCACCTTCACTGGTGGCAAGAAGGAACTAAGGGTGCGGGGAGCGTGTGGCTCCCCTTATACCATGCCAGGCAGGCGCCACTCCAGGGGTTGCAGGGGCGCTCCCCCCCCATGGGTACTGCTAGGGGAAAAACTTTCGGCACCGGGTGCACGTGGCGAGCACGCACACCAATTGTGGAATACACATGAGCAATCACTTGAAGAACATTTAACATATTTAACATTCTACATCTACTTCTTTATACAATACATGACAATATTCATTAAAACACTACATAGGGGCGTTGTGAGAGGCTGAGTAACAGCCCCGGTGAGCAAAAACCTCACTGCAGCACAGTGACAGCCCAACCACCCGTGAGCGTCCCGGACTGACTGGATTTCCCGTGCCGGAGGGGAGAACGAGTCTGCGGGGCTCATGTGCTCCAGCCAGGGAGATGGTTTGGGTAAGAGCTCCATCCTGACAAAATCAGACCTAGCCCGGGGCTGGCGGGGGGAGGGTGGGCAGGAAGGGGGAGCAGGCTCAGGCCCCCACTTGCCCTGGCTCAGGGTTAGTCCTTGTCCCTAGCATTGAATTGGAGTGCAGTGGGTAGGAAGCACTGGCTGCTAACCTATGGCCCAACGTGTAGCCCTTGGCTTCTCTGCCCGAGGGTTTGTGTGTCCCATGCGACCTCTCTTTGGGCCCCTCAGGCCAATCCCCTGGGCCCTGCCAGTGGAACCAGGATGCGCCAGATCAGGGTCAGTGTTAGAACTGGTGCAGAACTCAGCGTTTGGGGAAAAAGCAGAAGAAAGGAACGTTTTAATTTCATTATCTGTTTCCTGGTGGGGGGATTAAATGAAAATTTCAATGCGATAATTGTCAAAGTGGGCCTCGCATTTGGGAGACCCCCCCCTTTGCCTCGACGAGTGGGGCGGGAAAAGCAAAAAGGGCTTTCCCCACGCAAATGGAACAACAGTTTTAGATTTTTTCATCTGGCCCAGCCCATGTCATGAGGATTTCAAACTCGCCAAACCAGGAATGTTCCCCAATTAATCAAAAGTGACCCTCCCCCCCCCCCCGAAGTCTGACATTTTTCATTTTGAATACTTTTTGCGAAGGAAACTGCTGTGAGTTTTGCAGTGTTTTGCTTTGTTTGCAGCTGTTTTTTTCCAAGCACTTCTTTTGCATGCAGAAACAGCCCACCTGCATGGTGCTGGCCAAGCCCTTTGCCTTGGGAGCAGCTCTGAGCCTCCCTGCCCAATACAGACAGGTCGTGCTGCTCTCTTGGGGGTGTCACCGTCTGATGCAGTGCAGTGGGGAGGGGGGTCCCCTCGCCGGCATTTGCCCACAGTGTCACTGCATAGACATGTGCTAACCAGCTGTTTAAAAGTGGGGTCTGAGGTGTATTACAGCCACTGCTGCCCTCTACTGGATGGGATGGGCTCTGCCCCAGGGTTTGTCACCCTCTAGTGGCTGAGTGGTGAATTGTCTCCTCTAGGTTGCTGAGCTTGGAGCAGGTTCGCCTGAGTGCTACACCTGATGCCACACACATGCTTAGCTGAGGACCGTGGTGTCTGGCTGCCCTGCTGCCATTAAGAATCATTGCTGGCATCAAACCCTGGACCATCAGCACTAAAAGCCTGGGTTGCTATTATGTGAGGTAAAGGAGCAACTCCATCCATTAGTAGCAATAGTAGACTCTTATCCTTCTATGGGAGCAGCCACTAGAGGGGACTCATAACACAGTGCGCCGGTTGGGTTACATGTGCACTGGCACAGCTGGACAGTGGATTGCTCTGATTACGCGAGAACTCCCACTAGCTCAAGGCCCTTCTAGTCAGAACAGGGCCGAGAGAAGGCCGAAGAAAGAGGCAGAGTCTCCATAAACAAAGCCAGTGTTTATTAGTTTGTTCCCAGCCACAGGAAGTTCACATTACAGGTGTGATGTGCCTTGGAGCTCAGCCTTGCTGCCTGCTCCGCTTCTGTTACATTCGCCATTTACAACTATTTACACCAGAGAGCAGATGCGCTTGGTCTGAACCGGCGCAGGCAGCTGTCCCATGGGGTGGGGGGCAAGGGAAATGGATGGGCAGGGCCCTGGCGTGTACCTGTCAGTACACACCACATGAGCCATGGGCCACTCAATCACAGAAGTGGCCCACTTGGAAGTGGTTAACACCAGGCATTAGCAGCACGGGGAAGCAAAGGGCACAATTCCTGTCTTACTGGTTTGGCCTGGCAAGGGTGAGCTCTCCCTGCCTATCCCTATGCACCATGGTGTACCCTTTTGAGTCTCAACTAGCTGGGAGCAAAGGGGTGGGGCTCTCAGGGCCTGACTTCCTGCTTTGGAATTTGCATAACTGACCCCAGGATGCTTTGCTCCCTTACCCATCTGCTTGGGGGGAGCAGAGCCCTAAGGGTGTGTGTGTGCGTAAGGAACTTGGCATTGTTATCTCAGAGGAAAACCAATGGATGACTCTCGGATGCCTGTCATGTGAACAGAGATGGGCACTGCCCCCGGGGCGCCCAGGCACTCTGACTGTGGTGGAATTGCAGGGTGAAGTGTGTCCCAGCACAATGACCCTGTCACATGTTCTTCCCTTATCTGAAATCATGCATGGTTATCCATAGTATTCCCAGCTTTCACTACAGACCTCTATGGGGCTAGCCACTAATTTCTATAGCCCCATGTGCTTGCCACCTAGGGCAGCTGGTTCCAACCCCAGAAAGCCAGGAGTTGCTTGGGGAGAGCTGATCTTTATGCTATAGTCTCCCCTGCCCGGGGAGAGTCAGCACTTAGTGCAGTGAGTACTGCCCTGGCTTCCATCTGCTCCTGCCAGGTGCCTGGCTCTACCAGTGTGCAGAGCCAGGGCTGGCTCTGGGTGTGGCTGTGCCCACACATCATGGCTCAGATGGGGCAGTGATCCTTGTGGCTAATGGTGTCTTTTCCCAGACTGGCACCCAGTCCTCTTTGTGTTCCCAGCTCTCAGGCCAGCCCCCTCGCCCTGAGCCTGAGTAACCTTCCTGTGCGCGGTCTGGGGAGCAGTGCCTGCCCTGCTTGGCCCCACTGCTCCAGCCTGCCTGGATTGCCCCAGCGGGCAGTGCTGCAGCTGCTAATGGCCATGGAGTGCCCATGTGCACTGGGACCATGCCACGCTAGTGGACGGATGGGCACCTGACTCTGGAGGGGCCAGGGCCAGATCCTCAGCTGGTGGGAAGGGGTGAAGCCCCACCAATACCCACGGCAGGCCGTGATGCTGCGCTGCTTTGCACCAGCCACGGACTTGGCCTGAACTATTGGGGTGGTGTGGGCAACATGCCAGCGGCTCTGTGATCCCATGAGCTGGGCCCCCTGCTGAATCCAGGGCTGAGGTTGGCCCCTAGTGGTGACCCCAGGCAGCACAGGCTGGGAGCAGGGGAGCCAGGGTAAACCCCAGGCTCTGTCTCTCCCCACCAATTAACAGCCCCTTCAGGCAGGTGCTTTGAGCACAGGCCTTAAAACCCCTACGGCAGCAGCAGCAGCCAATGCCTGCCCCAAGCATCTGGAGTCCAATTTCCCCCCTTCCCCCCAGCTCCCGGGGCAATTTCGGAGTCCTGACTTAAGCTGTGGGGCAGAGGCACTATTGTAACCGCCCCACCCCGAGAGGTGACTGAAGTGCCTCTGTCGGTCCAGTTTGCAAAGCACTCTGGGGTCTGCCAGGGTGAGTGTGGCTGTGGCCACTAGCCCTAGGGATTGAATACAGGCAGTGCTCTTAGCCAGTCAGCCCCCGCCCATGACCCCTTTTTTCACCCCCCATCCCTCTGGCTCCCTCCCTGCATACACGCTTCCCTAGTTCCCAGTCCCCATGACTGGGACAGTGCAGCTGCCAGGAAACCCACTACTCAGCTCCCACATGGCCCAGTGCAGCGACCACGTGTCTCAGGACTTCACTACCCACAATGCCTCACAGCTCAATACTGACACTCCTTCCTTTCCTCCCCCCATCATGAAGCCACACAGCAGAGAGGCTGCTGCTGCCAGGTCCAGCAGCAGTGGGGCCATGGCTTAATAAATAATGAGAAGTAATCAGATGGGGAAACTGAGGCACCAAGAGGGGAGTGACTTGCCCAAGTCACTCAGTAGGGAGGACCTGGCTGCCCAGGTACCCATTGCCTGCCTCTTCTCCCCCACTTGCCTCGCTCCATCCTCCTACTCGCTCTGTCCTTTCCTCGCTTCACCCTGCCTGCCAAAAGGATTCTTCCCACCTCCAGTGGAGGGGGGGGGGGGCGGAGTGTCTGCCCCAGCCATTCCTGGCCCCTATGCCCAGTGTCCCTAGTACCCTCCGAGGTGCCACTGCAGCAGAGCCCAGGAAGGGGCATGCCTGCTGGGTGCAGCTGGCACCAGAGGAGCACAGCAGCAGCTGACATCCTCACCTGAATCCCTGATTCTGCTTCCTGAATCCCTGATTTAATCTGGCCACAGAGCCTGCTTTTTATACCACTGCAGCTCCACCCCCTGGAGGGCATCACATCATCCACCAATCAGGCCAGGCTGAGCCTGTGATATCATTCCCAGACATACCCCTCGCAGGAGTGATGCGTGGCCAGTGGCGGGTGGAAAAGCCTGGCCTTCTGCCCTCAACCCCCACGGGGTTTAGCCCAGCGATGGCGCCTCCCTGGGCATTCGAGAGGCACCCAGCCTGGACAGTCCCGCCAGGAGTGACGTGCCATCGGGCGTGCATGCACAGTGGGTGCCAGCTCCTGGGGACTCTGTTCCCTTGAGGGGACCACTTCTCTTTCTCCCTGCCAGTCCCCTCCTCGTCCAGTGCCAACAGGGGAAGGATATGGTCAGTGGCCAAGAAGTTCCACCCCCAGCATGGACTTCCCATCCCTAAGTCAGACACCCCCCTTGCTCGGGCCCAGCACACATCAATGCCAAGGGCACTGGCAGGAAACAGACCAAACCCAGGCTCCTCCACCCATGCCAGGGGGAGAGGGAATATGGCAGCTCCACCAATGGCACCCCAGCTTAGGTTCTGTGCTGGCCATTTCTACGTTAGCATCAAGAGCTTCTGGTTTGATGAGGGACCGGAGGAGGGGATCTTACCCTAGCCCCACCCCCATGCTCGGTGCCTGCCTTTTATTTTACAGTACCATAGAAGTTAGGAAGAGAAAAGGACAAGCTGCTGGCCAGGGTGCCTCTGGGAACCTGGCTATCTTACCCAGAGGGCCATGGGGCAAAGGGGTGGGACCGCATCTCCCATGGACTATGTACAACCTACAAATAAATACTGTCTTGAAAGGGAGGGGGGGAGTGTGTGTGTATATATATATATATTTATATATATATTTATAGATATTTTTAATATTAAAAGGGGGGGAAAATATAGCACTGTTATTACAAAGTCCCTGGCGGCGGTTTCATGTGAGCTGGTCCACGTCTGGCTGGTGATTCCGGCGGTTTCGAGGCTTCTTCTCGTCCTGCAGCTCCTTGGCTTTGAGGCTGGCCAGTGCCTCCTTGTGGCTGGAGGCTGCATGCCGCCAGTAGCCCTGGCAGTACTGGTTGATGAGTCCCATTTCAGGTTGGGTGAGGAGCTGCACCAGGTCCTGGTAGTGGGGGCCGGAGGCACCAGGGAGGCCAGCCCGCATGCCCAGCGCGGAGGTGGAGATGTCGCCGTCAGCCTGCAGGGCGGGTGCCTCTGACTGGAAGAGCACGCTGTGCACGGTCTCGCTGCTCAGCACGTGCAGCTGCACCTTGGCCACTGTGTGCTTGAAGTTGTTCTCGGTGGCCGTGCAGGAGTAGAGACCGCTGTCTGAGAGCTGCAGGGAGCGCAGAAGCAGTCCCTGGTCTGTCCGCAGCACCCGGCCCTCCATGCGCAGCTGGATGGGAGAGAGGCCAAGGGCCAGAGCGTTAGAACGGGTGAGACATGGCAGCCAGGCATGGGGGGGTCATCAGAGGAGGGGAGGGGGAGACTAGAGACAGGCCCCATGCAAGCCTCCCCCACCACCTCAGTCCCAACCTGCAGCCCTCGTTATGCCAGCCTGGCCCTCTGCCCCAGACAGCAGGCAGTGGGCTGCAGGGCCTTTCTCTCCAGGCACCCCCCCAGCTCCGCGCCCTCCTACCTCTTTCCGCCGGTCGCTGTTGTCCTTCTGGAGCAGCCACTTGACGGTGGCCTGCGGGGAGCGGGGCTGGCACTCCAGGAAGGCCGTGCTGCCCTCCACCCCGTACTGGACGGCCTCCACCGTGTTCTTGTTGGCTGGAGTGGGGCAGAGGAGACGGGAGGTTGGGCAATGGATCGACACAACGCTGCGAACCCGACCCTACTCACAGAGTTGGGAGAGCCATTGCCTCCAGCTGCCTGTCCTCACTAAGGGGACTGCAGCATCCTCTGCACTCTATCTACCTCCAGCCGACCAGTGTATGTATTCAGCCCTCACTCTACTCCATCCCTCTATCCACCCACCCAGCACATCCATCCATCCATCCCTCTATCCACCCACCCAGCATATCCATCCATCCCTCTATCCACCCATCCAGCATATCCATCCATCCCTCTATCCACCCACCCACCCAGCACATCCGTCCATCCATCCACCCACCCAGCATATCCATCCATCCACCCACCCACCCAGCACATCCATCCATCCAGGGCCAGCTCCAGGCACCAGCTTGCTAAGCAGGTGTTTGGGGTGGCCACTCCGGAGGGGGGCGGCACGTCCAGCTATTCGGCGGCAATTCAGCGGATGGTCCCTCACTCCAGCTCAGAGCGAAGGACCTTCCGCCGATTGCCGCCGCAGATCGCGATCACGGCTTTTTTTTTTTGGCTGCTTCGGGCCGCCAAAAACCTGGGGGCGGGCCCGCA